GTACTCTCTCACCCCTTCATCGACCATCTCTTTGCTTCTTGTTGAAACCTTTGAAATATCACTTTGTAATTATTTTTATAATACTCCTCTATGGTGTTTTATTAGGAAATATTATTTCAAAATTGTTCTAAAAACAATATTTTAATTTTGAAAATTAAATTTGTATATTGCTGGTAACTAATGTTTTCATTCACTTTAACATAGTAATTCTGTATCTATGGGGTTCTTACATTGCCTCTAAAAGTATTTCTTAGCAATAGTACTATCCCTGCAGGAAAGCCCATTTTACAACTTGGTCAATTATTCAGATATCGGGAATAGAGGACTTTTTCAAGTCTTCCTTGGCAGAATTGCATCTAAAATGGCAGAAAATAATTCTTCAGCACAGTTAACTGTCTCGGATTCTGATCCTACTTTGAATGCACTTCGGAAACAGCTTTCATCACAGCTAGATACCACGGAAGTTTCCAAAAACAGAAGTTAAAAAGTTGAGAACTATATTGAAATCTTTTAAGAAAAAGGAGTTATTGCTCCTTTCTCAACAGAAGACTGTCAAAACCCAACATCGGCTTATATCTGAATTGCAGACGAAGATCGATGAGAGTGAGAGGATTTCTCAACTGACTGATAGACTTGACCAGTGCCGTAGTTTCCTGGAGGATGATTCTAAATTTGCTCCAGTAACACAGGATTCTCAGGTGAATACGAATTGGATGGGTTTATCTTCTGTAAGCGTCTCTACAATTACGGATCCGTTACATAAACAACTACCAGTGCTCGAGGAGCGAGTGGATGTGCAAACAACATGTACTCCGGACTTGCAAGATGTGAATATAAATATAGACTGGTCAAGCTTATCTATTGATCATCTGTGCACTAAGACAGATTCAAGTAAATATATTAACTGGCTCTCCTTCCAACTTACCTTTAGTTGCTGATAGTCAGATTCAGACAGATTCGCTTAGTTGAAAAGATAAAATGTCACAGAAAGATCTTCCACCTGGATTGGAGTTCGGAATTACCTTCGTCAATAGATTCTCGATCTCCAAGATTCGATTCCTCACCTACATTAGGCAAAACTTTGTTTATATTTTCAAAAGAACATACTACCTTTACTGCTTTGAGAGATTCTCTTGCTTCTCTATTTAATCCTGTAAAAACTAGAGTTACAGTAGTTGATTTGCGTTTCAACAGGAGAAAGGAACTTTGTATTACTTGTGCTACAGCAGCTCAGTTGCATATTTTAAAGAATTTTCAGGACTCTTCACATTCGTTAACCACTAATAGCTACTCGCTCCATGATAACCTTCGGTCTTCCAGAAATTGTGACTATTGACGATGTGCACTGATTATCAAGACCTCCGTCGTCTCCGGTTCAGTTTGTCTTCAGTTACAAAACGAGATTAGGATCTTCCAAAAACATGGTATTGAGAATTAATCAACATGATCTGGAGGCAATGGGCTCTCCAGATAAAATTTATGTGGTTTTTTATTCTTATTATTTTCGACAATATCATCGCGTAATAAGATGCTATGCCTGTCAATCTTATGGCCACACTATTAGGCAATCTTCAGAACAGCGCTTTTGAGCACATTGTTCAAAATCTCATATGGTTCCTAACTGCCCGGATGGTCCAATGTGTATCAATTGTATTAGATAAAATAAGCAGTCGGGAGCTTCATTTGATACGGTTCATCATGCAAATTTCAGTAAATGTCCTGTATTTAAGCAGCAATTATCAACACTTCTCAAATCTCAAATTATTGCTCAAACATATCTTGCTGGTCTCAAATAATATGTTAAGCATTTCGCGTTCTCTTCCTTTCAGATTTTAGTACTTAACGATCTGATATTTTTATTTGTAAACACCATTATTTTTTATTATTATGTTAGTGATTTTCTATTGTGATTATAATTATTACAGTAATTTTAATAATTGGTGATTGATTAGTAAGTTGATATTTCTGCTGAATTTTCTGCATTAATAATTTTGGAAAATATTTTTAAAGAATTACTATGTAACATTAGATCAACCCTGTGAGATAGCCCTTCTTTTGAACAATTTATTGAGTATTATACGATCATTTAAAACATTGGATTATTTTTATTACAAATAGATGTTTTGAATTCACAGGAATTTTGAATTATTTATAATCTTAAACAGTCTTTACGGCAAATATTTTTGTATACACTGATTAGTTGTAATGGTGTTTCACTTCATTGATTTACTTATGGTTAAAGCAACGACGTGGCCCGAATGCAGAACATGCTCCACTGAGAACTTCTGAGCTGTTCTACAAAAGTGACTGAACTTCCCATTAAATACTGGTTCTTACCTCATTTACATAAAATGTGATACTGAAAACTCATTCTGGTAGGGAGTTGTAGGCGGGTGTTTAAAATTTTTGTATTTGTGCTGCAATGCACATTGTCTGCGAGACTATCTGTGCAGCCGCAAAGCATTACCGTAGTTACCAATTTTTTCTTTACCATTGTTATTGTTAAAAATAAATGAAAATGGCTGTTCTAAAGATTTGAAGTTGTATTTTAATTGTTTATTCGGAGAACACAATTTTTAAAGTTGGAAACAAGTATTTAAAGGAAATGGTTTCAAAATTAAAAATAACTATTAGATAATTAAAATAATCCCTACAATATGTTTTAAACACTATATTGGATTATGAAATCAGATCAGGCCAGTCAGTTTAGCAGAAATTTAAGAGAACAGATCATTATTTAGTTAGATAATCAACAGATACAATTTGTGGATACACCATATAAAAACTTGGAATGCTTATCATTATTTTTTAATTTTTTTAAAATAAAATCATACATCATGCCCATTGATGCACGTTTCTTGATGCCAGGATCACATAATTTTGAAGATAACTCCACTTCGTGCTCTTTCAAAAAAGAAAAAAAAAAAAAAAAATTATTATTGAGCTGTGGAATGCATTAATTCTTTATTTTCATTCTTGTTTAAAAGTACATAGAATGGATGGTGGAGCGAATATTTGCAATATTAGTCACCAAAAGAATTCCTCTGCTGTTTTTTAGGATAAGTACTGGAGCAAATAAGCTGCCTGTATAATGAATTTCAATTTGATGATTTCAGATCGCACCTACTTTATTCATTGGTTTCAACTGAATATAAATATGTTCTTAGTTTTTGTTAAAGGAGCTGTTACTTCATGCAAATATTTAAAACCAATTTGAAAATAAGCTGGTTCAAATTGATTCTAGCAATGCACTAAATCATAAACCTATAAGCAAAATATATTTGGGAGGTGTCGTATGGTCTTAAGTTCAACATTAGTGAGTAACAGTGAAAGCAAATTTAAAGATTGTTTAAAATTCCCTGAACATTATGTTTAATTCAGAATAAGATCTCCTGTAAGTGATTATGGAATTATCACTTGTCTCAGTGTCCTTAACCCAGTAGTGGTGCATGATCATGCCAAACACTCCTTCTCAATGCACTTCCCATAGTTCATTTCTGAATGTTCTGAATTAGATCTACTTGATGAATGGAAAGATCATTTTGTTTTAAATTTGTATCTGGCTTACGAAATCATCCATAAATTTTAGATAACAGATAGATAGGGTTATTAAAGACCATATGGTCATTAATAATTCTAAACATGAAATTTAATCTAACTTTATGACCAGTCTAATTATTTTACATAACTTACTGGCTAGCTTAGAAATAATCTCCTCCCAAGCAAACCATACAAAAACAAAAGCGATAATTTCACTTAAACCAAATGCTGTGAAAGAATAACTAATGACAAAACAGGCAATAAACAGACCTACTCAAAGTTGCTAAACATGGAAACTTAAATTTGAAGTCATACAAGGAACTTGTAATAGTATAATGAGTACTTAAAATAACTGAAAGAACTTCAAATAAATGTGAAGGAAACTGAATAGAAAATTCTGATTACAATTATATAAAAGATATTTATGCATGCTAAGTTGCATCTCATTTGTGTTGGTATACTATGTGATGAAAAAAGTTTTTTCTGGGTTTATTGAAGTTACATTTTTTTTTTCATAATGTACACGTAGGGAGCCCTTATCTGAATTCCAACATTGAGAAAATATGCATCAGCTTTCATAAACAATAAAGACAATTATTGAAATCAAAATTTCATTTTAAAAAAGATACATTCCAAAAAATCTTTTTACCAACAAAAAATACTTCGAATTTGGAAAATGATTTTTATTAATGGTAAAAAATCCAACAATTTGCCTCTGAATAATATAATCTTTATTGAATGTTAAGGCCAGTAAATAGATTAGATTTCATTATTTGCGATTTTCGGTATTACCAGAGTAGTTAGATAATTTTTATTTCTGAAGAAAATTCATATATTTGTGAATATTACATAATTTTATATGTTAAGAAAAAATATGAGGAAAATACAAGTTTAAGCACAGTTTATTTTTAATGATAAACTAAATCAGCTAAATTTAATGCTTTAAAAAAATTTAATTCTTCCATATAGCGTTTAACATAGTATGAAAAATTATGAACAGGAATTACATTCTATTGATAAAATGTAAACAGCGAAGTTAAAGATTTAAATATGTTAACTGCATTAGCTACTCGTCAGTTAACCTATAAATGATATGAAGATAAGCCTATAAATTGAATTGAAAGTGTAATTTTTTAAATTATTTACTCTTTAGTAATATTTAATTTTTATTTGACATTAATGGTATCAAAATAATTATTCACTTTTCCTTCGAATTTTTCTTCATTTTCCTACAGAAAAAATAAATAATTAAAATACATAAGTAACGATTTCACCATAAGCAGCAGTCTTCAGTTTGTATTTAATATATATATATTGACTCGTCAATTCTTTAAAAAAACTAAAGAATTTTTACTTAGGAATAAGGAATTTTTTTAGGAGAGTGAAGAAAATTTTAAGTAATCTTATATTCTTCCAGGTGATTTCTGTAATTACTGATTTAGTGAAAACAATATTTTATATTAACGAAGTTTATCTTCTTTATTTCTATTGCACAAGTTGAATACAAAATCATTTTAAAATAACCTAAATGCTTTTAAACTTCTTCACATTTTCTTTTTGTCGTGGCTGCAGTTTTTTCGAGATATTCGAGTTCCTACTATTTTTCTCGAATATAATATTGAACTACGATGGCATTTTCTTGATGTTTTGTTTAATTCAGCAGCAAAGTTTGTAAACGTTGTTTCGTCTGACAAATTTACAATTCCTTGATTTTCTTCTGTCAGTTTAATTTCTTCAACTTTCTCAGAAGAAATTTCTTCAGAATATTCTAATTTCGGCATATTTTCACTAATATCATTTTTATATTTCTTGCTACTGGAATGTCTGCTTTTTTTAACTTTCAATTTTTCAATTGTATTTGTAACCTTTTTAGAAATACCAGCTGTAGGAGAGCAATATATTGGTACACCTCCTCTTGGTCTGAATAGTTTACTTGGGGCTGATTTTGGAGTAATGCTGCAAAAAATTTTCTTTTGCTTTGGTGTTGAAGTCATTTTATTATCTAACTGTTTTAAATGTGATTGCCTCATAGCTTTTTCATTTTCTTTTTGAATTATTCTATTTTCCCACTGCTTGTTTACAAAACACCGGAAATCCTCACCAAAATATAAAAATAGTTCACCCGTCAAAGATTCATAATTATTAATATCTGTAATTATTTCATTTTCTAAAGTTGGAAGATTTTTCTGTACTTTTTTTCTTTCTCTTTCTTCTTGTAAAAGATTCCCTCTTCTGTTTTTATACCTGCTGGGATCCGATGCCTTATTTTCAAAAGTTATCATAAGTTCCCACAGTTGCTGTCTTTTATTAATTTTATTTATAATTTGCTCAGTTCTTTTATGATAACTTCTCCATTTCTCAGCTTCATTATCATATGCTTCTAAAATATCTTCATCATATTCATTCAGGTTAAAAAGAAATGACTGTCTTTGCGTTTCAGATATAAAGCATTTATCCCATAAGGTTTTTAACTCTTTTCTAATGCTTTCAATATAGTTTTGCTTGTTTTGATTCTTTATTTCTTCACATTTTTCCAATTCTTTTTTAATAGCTTCAATGGTTGATATACGTGCATTAGAATGTTTAGAAAACAAACTTAGCTTTTCTGTATCATTTACTCCCAACCTGTGCCAAAGATTAGCTAGCTTATCCAGTAAAACGTTTTGTAAACTTTCAAGTTCTGCTTTTTTACATCTTGCCTTACAAATGGCTTCATCCATGGCGTCCAGGATTTCATTTGATAGGGTTATATTATCTTCATTAGCAGAAATTATATTTTTTTCCAATGAAGTTTCAGGTACAAGTTCTGTTGTTTCTAAAATAGTTGTTAATTCCTTCTTTATTGTATATAATTTCTTGAAACGTTTATTTTTTTCTAGTTTCAACATCGCGATGTGTTGCTGAAGTTCATACAAATTTTCTTCAGAAGGGATGATGACATCAGAAGTAAAATTTAAAGGCGATAGACATAAAGTTTTGCAATATTTTACTTCTACCGTACGAAGATCTTCATAAGTTTTCATTCTGTCGCTCTTTAACTTGGACAAATTATTAAATTCTTCTCGTAAATTTTCTTCTTTCTGAATTAAAGATTCATCCAGTTCTTCAGTTACAGGGATATTTAATAAATTGGAGAGTTCAAGTACTTTTTCCCTATAATTTTGTATACGCTTTTTTATATCTTCACAAAGGGCAGTCTCTTCATCAATCATTTCCTGATACAAGTTTTCAACATGCATGCAGACTACTTCAACACGTTGTAGTTTTTGTGCGCCATCAATACCAAGTTCATTCCAAATTGCATGTAATCTCTTCATAGAACTTTTTACTTTTAAAAGCAGCTTTTCTTGTTTTTCTTCCAAACTAACCTCATCTGATAATTTTTCAATAACCTCCTCAGAATTCATATTGTTAACTTGCAGAAGGAGAATTTCGATGTATATGCGCCTGAAATTTTTAAATATAAAATCAAATTATGGTACTTAGTTTTCCACAAGGATGCATCATAAATATATAAAATATGCACTTCAGGTCTGAACAAAATAATAAATGAGAATGACATTCAAATTAACAAGCCTTTAAAAAGAAATTTTAAATTATCAAAAAGATTTATTTATTTATTGGTTGCACACTTACCATAGTGTTTAACCCTTTCCGACACGCTACCTTTTAACGTTGGAATGTCGCTAAAAAAAGGTAGGCAATCTAATTAGGCCTAGAGAAGTGCACAAGTAAATTTTTGTGAAGATAGCACTTATCGTTTTAATTCTGTGGCTGTGCCCGAAGCGGGCACACTGTTTGAATAGAGCTTCGAAAAGAATGCTGAAACGAGCATTGCTGGGAAGCGCGTAAAAGAGTAAGAGATTTTGCCTACAATTAAAAAACACTAGATTCTACCGTAGCAGATTTATCATTACCTAGCTAATACCGTAGCAGATTTATCATTACCTAGGGTGTGCTACGGGAAGACCTGCTACTCTACACCGCCTTAAAAAGATCTTTTTTTTTATATTATGATTACATGCCTATGAATGAAAAAAAAAGGTAACTTGGGTATATGATATTTACATTTCATATTTACGCTTTAATCAATTTTTTTTTCCATGGTGGTACTTTTCGAAGAAAGTGACACTACCTTTGAAAACAACATTGTATGTTTTGCACATGTACCGGGATCCGTATCAGATTCACTATCTGAAGCAATTCGTGTAGCACTTTCAGTGCTTCAGAAATGGTCAGTCCTCTCCGATCCGTTTGGAAAATAATTAAAAATCCGAAAAAATAAACTAATATTATATCTACAATTAAAAGAAATTATAAACTGTAAAATAAAATTAAATAAACGTCTACAACTCAAAACTACTAAACGTAGCGCTAGCGAAACTCTGAACGAAAGCGTAGTTAATAACCAAACGTCCCCTCAAAAAAAAAAAAAAAAGGGGAAGGGGAAGGGGAAGAAAAACAGGAAATGAAACACAGATGTGGACTCTGCTGTCAATGAATTGACCGATGAGATACGGAGAAACAAAGAATACAGTCTCTCAGTTGTCCTAGAGTTTTGGTGTGCCCCGTCTGGGCACACCTCGGGTTCGCCGTTCGATTTTAGACAAGATTTCAAGGTAAAAAATTAAAACTAATATAGAATAAGGAGATTAGCGTACAGCCAAAAAATAGCATAGATATTTCTTTTCAAACAATTCCTTTTATACCTAAAAAAATCTGGAAGATTTCTTTGAAAAATGAGGGTCTTAAAAAACTAAACATAGCTAAAATATATGGACTGGTTTGTGTTGAGCTGCCATCTACTATAAATAAAGAAGCTTCAGAGTAACCTATAGTAACCTCTAAATCCTTTTTCATTCAATTTTTCTGTGCGTACAGAAGGACATTTCAATCATGAGAATGTTCTTCATAACATTCTCATGTTTGTTATACAAGTACCTTTCCTATTAAGATACAAAATGCCTTTTTCTTGAATGAATACAATTGCATTTTTCTCACTTCTTGAAAAATTAATAACTGATGTCATATTTTACATTTGGATACTTTCTGATTATTTGCATTCCATGTTTCAATATTATGTCCAACTTATGTTTGAATTTAACAATAACCAAGTATTGCATACTTATCTGAATACAGATAGACTTAAATGCTTTATATTTAACTGCCATTTTATAGAGTAAGATAACATTAACTGTACAAATCAAGTATCAACCATATGGACTGTCCCCCATACATATTTTATTTGCTATAAAATGCTTTTATTTATGAAGAGAACAGTATGAGCCATAATTAGAGCCAACAAACATTTTTAACCAATTCTCACAGATGCCAACACGTTGAAATTTTTGGGACTTACCAGTGGCAAAGCAATAAAGTCAATGAACACTGGTAATTCAGTCTGAGGCTCAAATCCTGACCAATGGGCTGTCTGCATTTATTTTTTTGTGGCTTTCTCCATGTGTAACATGCACAAAGTCCTCCACAAAGACATCCCTTTCCTTTGGGAAGAAACCTTTAATGAAATACAACAAACCTATATCGAAAGGAATTAAAATGATTTTCAATACATGCTTTTTAAAATTACCATACAGTTTTATGGGAAAGGAGTAACAATTCATTTTACAAAATTCATCTACAATTTTGCATCACGAAAAAATCACGTGGCGCACTTGCTAACAATGCACAAATAATTACTTATTAAGAATTTATTCCAGAATTGATTTCTTATTATCGAGTGTGCCCATGCTTTATTATCCGCGGTATGAAATCGTAGATGGATTTTGTGAAAAAAATTGTTTAATTTCCTTTTTCTATAAAGCTGTATATATATATAATTTTTTTTTGTTTGAGCTCGTTAATTATCATATCCATTTTAAATAAAAGTATATTGTATAAACAACTTTTTAAAATTTTATTAGAATTTATCCAATTCATACGTAATTAAATTTTTAATCCTGGCATTTAAATTTTAAATTATTTACTTTTAAAAGTTTTCATAGTAATTTTTTTTATCCACTAAATGAAGGATTCACAATTTTATATAATACTTTTCAACATGAAAATATATTTATTGTATCAGTGTACATTTTTGTTAAAATTTTTGTTGTAAAAATATTAGAAATGCGTATAAAATCAAAGTTATAGAAGCTCAATTTCAAAATACGAATATATATGTTTGGCACAAATAAATTCATTTGTAGGCTCACCAAAAGTAGAGCGGTTAAGTCGCTGAATGCTAGTAGTTCGTTCCGGATCGAAATCCTGGTGTACGGGTTGCTGTGTGCAAGGTTTCGTGGATTCGCTTATGTATAACTTGGTTATAAACCCGTTTTCCTTAGGAAATACTCTCCGAATACATCTTTGCTCTCAAGCAAATAGCCCTCGAGTGCTTTGTGATAGTCTACTAAATAATTCAGTCTTTGGTGAAAGTGTTTTTTGCCAGATACCAATGATTAACCTCAAACATTAACATGATAAAAAATATTTAAACAGATTTCCTTATACTGGTTAAGTTTTACTACTAACAGAACTATAACAAAATGAAATGTACAAAAAATTAATACAATTTCAAATATTTCAAACTTAAAAATCACTGGCCCCAAAAAAGTTTTAAAGTGATTCTGCGAAGAAAAGCAATTGTTTTGCTTTAAGGCAATGATGTCAAACTCGCGGCCCACAATAAATATTTTTGCGGCTCGGCCAATAAATATATCGGCAAATAATAATATATAATAATAAAATAACATATCGACGAAGAAAAAAATGAAATGTTTACTGCTAAGTAATTAACGATAATTTATTCAGTGTTGTTAGATTGGGTGTACTCCAACTGCGCTGATGAAAATCCCTTCCTCGTCCTGCTATAGTCCAACTGCGCCGATCAAAATTTCTTTCCCCCATTGCCTACAGGGTTACAATTTTATTTTTCGAAGCCAACTGTAGCCAAGAGGAAAATAAAAATAAAGAAATATATTTTTTCTAAATGAATAGTGGATTTGTTGCCAATCTAGAGAAACTAAGCTTCGGCAACAACAAAGATAACGCCTTCTTTTATTATTATTGCGAATTACGTCATGCTTAATCCTTTCTGGAATTTATTCCAGGAAATAAGTGTTTAAGAATTACTTCGTAATTTTTAATACAGATTGTGGTGTTGTTGGCCGTGATCGTATAAAAGTAACGATACTAAGAGTATCAAATGCGAATTAATTCCGCGTAAATAGTTAAACTAAAATTTAGTGGTTAGTACATTGCATGATCTTTAATAATAAGAATAAAATGACTTACCCAATAAGGCATGCATGAGTCAGTAGCTCTCTTTTAAATATACATTTATTAAATCACAAAACCAAACACTTTTCTTGATTAGCCTAGATTATATACGTTACAAAAAAAAAAAAAAAAAAAAAAAAAAAAAAACTACATTCATGAATGCCTTTCGGCATGTCCTACGGGACTCTCACAGCGTTCATTTCTTACGGTATACTGTAATTCTTAATCCTAAAGCATCAATGGCACATTACTTATCAGCATCTTGCAAGAAGCTTAATTAATAGGCGGTGCAATTATTCGCGAGAGAAGAGAGAAGATTTCTTGTAGATAGGCTTGAATTTGAAGCACATGGTCATCACTTCGAAAAATCCAGTTATCAGGATTATACACGTTGGATCACAGCACAGGAACAATTTTTACCTCGCAGCATAACCAGTAAAGTTTACCTGAGTTCTTATATTCATTTATGCAGCTTTCTTCGAACAAGAACATGTTTTCTCCTCCAACTTATGCAAAGGAATATCAGCTCGATTACATGATGTTTTTCAGTGGACGATGGCGAGAGCTGTGTGTGGCCCGAAGGCCCACACACACGTTAACACGACGACAGGCAGAAAAAAAAAAAAAAAAAAAAAGACGACAAAACCAGTCCTTCCAGTTTTTATCCACTTCGACGCACGTGGTAGGGCCCGATAACGATTCAAGAATCGATAATGCCACAGTGTTTAATGTGAGAATTCTGTGTTCTCACATTCCCTCCGGCCGAAGAAAAAAATTTTGTCCGATCACTGGACAAATGCAATCCCTCTCTGCTGGACACACTTGAACTTTCGTCTGCATTACATACACATTTCACACCAATCTTTACATCACTTGCAAAGGCACTGCACTTTATCATTTCGTTTGCACTATATAAACATTCCCCATTACATGAACACAGTTGAGCTTTGGTATGCACTATACACACATATTTCACATTAATATTTCACATTGCTTGGAAAAAAAACACAGCACTTTAAACATTTTGTGATACATATTTTTTACATTCCTAAATTAGTATTATTCTTTTACGTACTCATGCATGTCTACTCTTACCTAAATATCACTACAGATGCGATTCCATAAAAGAAAATTTTGACATATATAATTTATAATTCACATATGATTAAATATCCAATTTATCAACTTAAACTAATGAACATTTGCATTATCAATTTGATGGAACTCCTCTTAACCATTGTTTACTTTTTTTACCATTATTCATTCTTTACATTTTAGAATCACATTCACTATTTCATTACATAGCTACTTTTATCATTTGATCATATTCATTTTCACATATACATTTCATATACCAATATGTCATGACATTGTTACAAGCTACATTTGTATTAGATCCACTACTAAATTACATACCTTCAATTTGATTCAGCAGTAAGACAAGGAGATTTGAACCACACTCTTTTTTTTTTTTTTTTTTTTGAATCTGCTACCTAGTAATCAATGAGACCCTGCATAGTACAATTCAATTCTTCTGGTATATGGACCAGCCAACTCTACCAAAAATCGTGCAATTAGCGCTTTATTACACTAAATTGACCCATACCACACATGATCATCATTCATTATCTAGCTTGTACACATGCTACATTCTTATCATAATCACAACTTCTTTACACTTTTTTTTTTTTTTTTTTTGATTTGCTGATCTACAATTTACAATTGTGTTACACTCCTAATCCTCATTTTGTGTTGAATCTATTCTTGAAGGCTTTTGTAAAAACAATTTACTTACGTGAACTTTAGTGGTTTTATTATCTAATTGTATTATATAATTATCATTTCGTAGCTTTTTAATGATCTCATATGGCCCCTTGTATTTTGGATGTAGCACCCTTCGATCAGTAAATTCCTGCATAAAAACTTTATCCCCTGATTTCAATTCTGGAATTTTTCTCCCTTTCAAATATTTTTTTGCACAATTAAAGTATTCATCCTCATTTAATTTTACTTGTTGCTTATCTCTACTCAATTGTTCCTTTATTCTTTTGGAATATTCCTGGAAATCTTCTGCTAATTTAAGAGGATCATTGCTATCTATGGGAGTATTTAATGTTCTAAAACCAAAAAATAGTTCTGCTGGTGAAAATTGAGTTACAGAATGTTTAGCATTATTATAATACAGTTTAAACATCAGTACTTTTTGTGGCCATTCAAATATTTTGTTTGATATTGCTGCAATTGATTCTTTCATTACCCTGTGAACTCTTTCAATCAACCCATTGGACTGTGGATAATAAATTGAACTTTTTCTGTGTTCTATTTTAAGCGATTTTAAAAATTGATTAAATTCTGTGGAACAAAAATAGGAACCGTTGTCTGATAACAAAATTTTTGGAATGCCAAATCTGGCAAAATAATCATTTAAAGATTTTATGATGGATTGAGAAGTGCAGTTGTTTAACGGAACTGTTTCCAAATATCTGGAATAATGATCAATGATAGTGAGTACATAAAACTTATTATCTATGGATCTTGGCAGTTTACCAACTATGTCTATAGCTATCATCTCTCCAGGAGCAAGATCTTTCTTAGGAATTAGACGTGGCAGAGTGTTGTGAGGTCTAGACTTATTTTGTAAGCAATCTGAACAATTTTCTACAAAACTTTTCGTATCGCTGTACATACCTTTCCAATAATACTTTGCCTTTACAAACTCATATGTCTTTTGAATACCAAAGTGAGGCGCATGAACTGTCTGTAATACATCTTTAATTAATGCCTTAGGAATTAGAATTTTATTCTGGATACTTCTGTCTTTCTTTCTCATATTTACAGGTTTTAATTTTATCATTACTACATCTGTATGACTATCAATAAAATATTGTTCTACACTTTCTTTGTGGTTATCCTGTAATTTTTTTTATAATTGATTTTATGTCTGGATCACTTTGCTGTTTACTAATTATGTTTTGAATAGACAAATTATCATTGGTCCTAAATATATTTACATTGTTTACCACTACATCCTCTGAAACTCTTGACAAGTAATCTGCTGGGTTTTTTAAACCAGGAATATGCTCCATCGTGTATTGAAATTCCTGTAAATATAACAACCAGCGTGCTACAATATCTGGCTGTTTGTCAAGACTAATATGGAAAGTCAGAGGTTTAGCATCAGTTAATATTATACATTTTTTTCCATACAGATGTTCGTGAAATTGCTTTACTGATCTGAAGATTG